AGCATGCTGACCTCCTGTGTCCCCAAGTGCCCCACAGTAATTTGATCGCTCTTCTTTTTCTCCCCACCCGACCCCACCCCTCACCAGCAATGTGGTCAACCCTAGCAATTTATATGACTCCCTGGCATATCCTTTTCGTTTGGTTATAAAGCCAGTTTGGTGTAGTGGTTAAGTGCTAAGACTCTAATCTGGGAGAACCGGGTTTGATTCCCCACTCGTCCACTTGCAGTTGCTGGATGACCTTGGGGAAGCCATAGTTCTGTCAGAGCTGTTCTTGAAAGCGCTCTCTCAGCCCTGCCTACCTCACAGGGTGTCTGTTGTGGGGAGGGAAAGGAGTTTGTAAGTTGCTCTGAGATTCCGTGTGAAGGGTGGGGTATAAATCCAATCTCTTCCCTTCTTCTAAACAAAATCTGTCTAGCTGACAGATAAGCACTTGAAGACAGCAAATTTCCCCATCTGTTCAGGTATGGTCCAACATCATCTGAGCAAGTTTCACATGCAGAGTTGAAAATTTCATTATGCTCATTGCTGTTTTTCGTGTCTTTCTTAGTTGTAGGCTGGTACATAACAGAAGGCTTTTAAAAATAGAATGGTAGAAATCACAACTGTAGCTCATCAAAGTCCATATCCAGAAAGCTTCTTTATTAAATTCCCTTAAAATCATGAGAGCAAAATAATGACAAAAGTATCAGATAAATATATTCCACAAGAATTTCACATACAAAAGCTTTGCTCATTTTCTCGGGAAAGTTGTTCCTCTACCTTTTGAGTCAGCCTCTTTCAGCTGAGAAACCCAGCCAAGTTATCTAATAGCTGTGAATGTGAAAGAGGTTTTTTGAGTCATTTGCAAGTCTTAGAAGTCTTAATCCCTGAAATTGTTAATTTTTGTGAGAATTCACCCTGCCCATTAGATGGCTTGTGCAACAATGCATGCAGTCTTAAAGATGGTACTAGATGCTCGGTTGTTCCTGGGGGCAAGTTATAGGTAACCTTAAAGCAGAAATTGCAAAGGTGGAGATCTTGCTATCCCAAAACTGGAAGAAGGCACTTCAGTTCTTTCAGTGCCTCTTAGTTTCATCAGGAAGATTTGCAGTTGAAGGGACCCTGCCCTCTCTACCACCCACTGCTCCTAGGAACCAAAATGACTCCACTGGGGCACTTTCCTTCCAAATCTAAGCTGCCCATTGGGATTCTGTGCTGGTGAGAGCAGAGTTGCATCTCTCTGGTTCAGATGTTCCAGCATAAATCATGGGGTTGCTCCATGTCCATCTCCCTACCCATGCGGTTTTCCACATCTGCAGAGAGGCACAGCATCTCCAGTGGTCAGCTTTTGCTCTCAACAGCAGTAAAGTATGGTGGATGGGAAGCCACAATTAAATATTTGTCTAGCCTCTGTAGTTCTTTTAAACTAATTCGTTCCCTGAGAGTCAAATGCTGTCCTGACCCTTTCAGAGTAAAGGCTTCCAACAGTTCTTGCACCATACCTGATCATACATCATTCCTACAGTAAGAAGTACGGAATTAACACAGCTCCTCTCCCAGAATTTTCTCCAAGAGTCGGTTACAGACTCACAAACACAGCAAGGTCTTCTAGGTCCCAGGCTGCCTTTGTTGGTAATGAAGGCAGGGGAATTCCATACAAAGCAGGGGAATTCCTTATTGTTGCATCACAAGCTTTGAGCAGCTTTGAGCAATCCTGTACTTGAAACACCGAACTCTCATTGTCAGGTGAGCTCCTCTGGGTTGGGTTTGCGAGAGTCCTCTAGACTAAAAGCCATTTCAACAGCTAAGGCAGAATATGATATGGTTTAGAGCGCCACCTCCAGCTTCACTGGCTGCAAATTGCAGCAGAAAGCTTCCCCCCCCCCCTGCAGAGTCATCATGAATTCTGAACAGACTTTTCCTATTCACAGGATATCTCAGAACAGGATATCCCTTTCACTTGCTTTGACTTGGACTATGCTACAGTGTATAGTACCTCCTGTCTGTTGCTGTATGATTTTTGTGTTTAATAACTAAGATGCACGCCAACTAACCACACCTTTTTAAAAGAGACAACAAAGACAAAGTTTATTCTTTCCACTTTACACATAAACACAATTATCAGCACTTGACCCAAGACTTGAACACAATATAAAAACATCTAGATAGATTAACTTACACTGTTTACTGTAAAATAAAGTCTGTCCTGCAGGCATAAACTTCCCACACAGTGCATCCACTCCTTCAGCCCTAGCTGGCAACAATAAATCTTGCATGCTGTGTGCCAAAACCTGATTCTGTTGCTGACCTTGTGTCCCCTGTCCTTCCTTGAAGCTGATTTTTACCTGGCAATTATACTGTTTGGCTAATGAGGTAACAATTTGAAAAGGATGACCTTTTCAAGTAACAATCAAGGCTTCAGTCCTAAGAAGAATCGCCTGAAAAGAGTTCTTCCAATTCAGCCTTATACAGGCCCCCGGTCACACAGGCCAGATATCGCGGGGGGGGGGAGGCGTGGCTAATTGCCCCGGCGCAGTTTGATCCGTGATTACGCGATCAGACACGCCGGTTCCCTCTAAGCTGTGGAGTCCTGTGAACAAAAATTCTACTTTGTGGGCTGCTGGCATTAAAGTTGTGAGCGAGCAATTTGGCCACTGCATACAGCCATCCTTCCTGAGCGAAGACAAAAATGTGTGAGCTGGAGGCTAAAAAACTGTGAGCTAGCTCACACTAACTCAGCTTAGAGGGAACACTGCCGGCGGCACACCACCGGTCCTTCCCCCGGCGCTGGCAGGTAAATGAGGGACTGGAGGGGAATGCCGCGCGCCGGCACGATCACACCATGGGCGTCTGGAGGCAGCCCGTGGCAAACGTTTACTAGTACCTTGGAGGTAATAGTTTTTTAACTCACATTGTAGGTGGTAAGCCATGGGTGCGCTCCACTTCCCAGATGTTGGGGTGTGATCGCGCTCGGATAATCCACCCACCATCCGTTCCTCTCCCGCGGCAACTTTGCCGTGTGACCGGGGCCACAGATTACATAACTGTTAGCTTCCTTCCAACACTTATAGGATTTAAGGGGAAAGGACAATTGAGCCAGGTCATCACAATGATCCTACTGTGTAATATCTGAATCTTTTAACATGTCATGTTAATACTTAAGCTTTGTTTTAGCTTTGTCACAGATTTCTGTTTGGTTTCACATTTCATATTTCGGATATCCCTTCATGTTGACTGTATTGACTTACACTGTCTAATCCGCCCTGCGTCTGAGTGAGAAAGGCATACTATGAATAATGTAAATAAAATGAAAAAATAAGTTTTAAAAAGAACTTCAACAAGCGGGTAATTAATAAATGAAAATAAGTGAAATAGTTCTGTGTTTAGCTGAACATTGACACTCCTATGCTGAGCTGGGTCTAAGGCCCCTAAAGGCCCCTGTTCCAAGAATGGATGGAAAATAGGAAAAAGCCAAGTAGGCTGGGAGAGGAGTTTAGCTTTTGAGGCAATGGTCATGGATCAACGGCAGTGAAGTCCAGTGGTGCTGGGCGCTTCAGGCCTTGCTCGATGTTGCAAAACTGCTTGCTGCCTTAGTTGCTCCTGCTGCACTGCTTTAAGCTGGGTTCTACTGCTGTCACCATATCTAAAGCTGGGGTAGTAACTAGTTGAGAGTCACAAAAATATATGGAAAAATATTAAACACATCAGTGTGAGACTTTCTCTGTGTATTTCTCTGTGGAGTCACTTCCTGTAGCTCACTCTTGTTTCTATCTTCTTCTGAGTGCCTGAGTTATTCACCCCCTCCCCATCTACCTTCCTAACTCACTCAGTTCTGTGTACATTGATATTGCCAGGGAGGAGGGAAGGTGTGCCATTTTTAGTTGCAGATGCCATTTGGGGATCCTCATAGCTGGGTTTTCTGAAAAGCTTTCGGGGAAGTATTTCAGGGTGGCCAGGTTCTTCCTGAGGGTTTAGACTTTGCAGATTTCTGATGGTAACATTCAAAAAATCTGGGAAACTTTTTTAGCCATGTTGGAGGACAGTAAGAATGTGACCACATTATAACAGTTTTTCTCTTTTAGATACTGAGTCATGCAGTTATATCAAACAGAAAAAAAAAATTTTTTAATAGTGGGTATATTTGTTTTTCTTGCCAACCTAGCAGTTCGAAAGCAAGAAATTGCAAGTAGATAAATAGGTACCACTTCGGTGGGAAGGTAACAGCGTTCCGTGCGCCTTGGTGTTTAGTCATGCTGGCCACATGAGCATGGAAACGTCTTCGGACAGCGCTGGCTCTTCGGCTTTGAAACGGATATGAGCACTGCAACCCTAGAGTCGGATTTGACTGGCTTTCTAGCAAGGGAACCTTTACCTGTATTTGTTTTAAGTTATTCCTTCAATGAGGTCAACCTGATATTCATTGGGCAATTCCGTTTTGCCCCCCGTAATAACGCTGCAGAATAGATTGAGCTGTAAAACAATGACAGGGTCAGACTCCCCGTCTGAGTAGGGATCCTTTAAAACCCAGAAACATTTTCACAGTGTGTGTTTATTTTAAGCAGAATTTGAACCCAGGTTATCTCTGATCTATATCCAGTACTCCATCATGCTAGCTTAATGGATGCTTTGATCGAAGCTGTGGTATAGGGATGTGTGTTATAGGTTCTTCCTGACTGCAAGGCCAGCGACAGTGCTGTGTGTTTTTCCCAAAAACCGACAGCGCTTTACAGAAGCTTATCCATGTTAGAGATCTTATTATGCAACTTAGAATGTAGTTGAGTCTTTCCAGCAGGAAGGGGATCGCTAGAAGTAGGCCCAGCTTAAACGCATGTTGCCAACCCGAACACCCTCCTCCCTGTACAGCAGTTGCTTGGGTATTGAACCAGTCCTGGCAGAGCCCAGGAACAAGTGGGAGATAGCATCATCATCATCTTATATAACTGACTTGTAGACATGTTGCTACTTGAGCAAAAAGCTTTCTGACTAATTTTTTCATTCTTACTCTTTTTCCCTCCCAGTGTAACACCAATGCATTGAGTCTCTCCCAGAAGAATTCCACTCTTGCGGCCACAAATCTGAGTGGCGAGGAGAGTGAATTCTACGATTATGAAGGGCGCCGCTGCAAGATGTGCCCTGCAGGTACCATGTTCTCCAGATCTATCTGACCTTTAGTTGAGTCTCCAGGGGCTTTGGCTTCCATCCATTAGAAGATGTCCACATGCATCAGAGTCCTTGCAGAAGCACGATTAAAAACCCTCATGCTGGCCCACGGAGCTGAGTTATACATGGTGTCTCCCGAGCCACCTTTCTGCTTATGCAAGATGCAGTCCTTTGCTATATTTTTGCTGTGTATGTTCCTGAAAATGTGAGGTGTGCATATGTACTGAACCTGACACTTACTTGAAACGATCAGTATTTTCATTGAATATCCACGAGCTAACTAAGTAGTAGGTCTTGTGCATGCAGAAAAACACAACATCTAGTTTCATGAAACTTGTTGGGTGACCTTTGGCCAGTCACTTTTTCTCAGCTTAAACTTGTCACAGGGTTGTTGAGAGGATAAATTGGGGGGGGGGCACATACACTGCCCTGAGGTCTTTGGATGAGGGGCAGGATAAAAGTGTAAGAGAGAAGCAGAACATGGCAGTAGCTGAATGTATGCCACTGTATTCACTTGCCATTCTGCCCAAAAAGCTTGAGCGTTGGAGCCAGACCCTCAGCTTAACTGTCTCTTCATAGAAGAGTCAGTCAACCCAGGACATTTTGGCATTTGAGGCAGAAAAGCCTAAGCTCTTCTTCCATAATAGTTAAAAAAAACCCACCCTGTTCTACCCCAAAATCTGACACCTGATGTTAATCACCACATGCCAAGAAGACTGTGTACATGGGGGAAGCAGTAAACTGAAGTCACTGAAAAATCCATACTACTTTAGTCAGTACTTTATCCTTTCCTGTATGGTTGCTTTCTTGCAGGTTCTTATGTCTCTCATCATTGTGAGACCACAGGAACTGAATCCAGTTGCGAGCCCTGTTCCAGTGATTCGTTCACCACACACTTGAATCAATTCCATGCGTGTGTCCCCTGCAAAGTCTGCAGATCTCTAGGTATTTAGCATGGGAAGAAGTGGGAAGGGAGGTTCTCATCTTTTAGGGGTAGCCTTGGGTTGCGCTCAAAATCAACCAACAGCTGTAGTGATTGGAACAAGCTGCTCTTCAGAAAGGAAGGGCTCTGGTTATTTGGGGGAGGGACCATCAGTGGTAGAGCATCTGTTTGCATGCAAGAGGTCTCAGGTTCAGTCCCCAACATCTCCAGTTAAAAGGCTCAGGTAGTAGGAGATGTTTTTCTGTGTTTTTGCTCTTGCAAAATTGCCATGCATGCACAACCTAGGTTATCCAAAAGCCACATTAAGCATGTTGTATTGATTCACTGGGGACTGAATGAGTGAAACTGTGCAAACTCAAGTGTGTTTGCCTTTCCAGATCAAGTGACGCTAAAGTCATGCTCAAGAACCAGTAATGCTGAATGTGCCTGCAAGGAGGGCACCTACTGTTCCCCTGACCAGCCATGTGAAACGTGCCATAAGTGCAAGCCCAGGTCAGTGCAAAATGATGGTTTTTAGAAACATGAGTTTGACATTCTCTGTTCCCGTAACAAAGGAAGAATTTACAGTGTCTGGAATCTTTTCAGTCAGATTAAAATAGAGAATGGATAAAAGGAAGTACTTCTTCGCCCAAAGACTGATTAACACGTGGAATTCACTGCCACAGGAGGAGGAGGTGGCTACAAGCATGGATGGCTTCAAGAGGGAATTAGATAAACATATGGCGCTGAGGTCCATCAGTGGCTATTAGCCACAAGGTATAGATAGGAACTCTCAGGCTGGGGCAAGTAATGCTCTATATTCTTGGTGCTTGGGGGGGGGGACAACAGTGGGAGAGCTTCTAGTGTCCTGGCCCCACTGCTGGATCTTCTGATGGCACCTGGTATTTTTGGCCACTGTGTGATAGAGTGTTGGACTGGATGGGCCTTTGGCCTGATCCAACAGTGGCTTCTCTTACGTTCTTATTGGGGGAAGAATAGAGAGGGTTTATTGTGCACTAGAGAAAGTAGGCAATTGCAGATTAGGCAGAGAGGTACCACTTACCCCCATCCAGATGGTCTTTAACTTCTGTGCCCTTGGCACAGACTAACCAGCATTTTGCAAACCTTTGTATGCTAATACGAAACCTCTTTTAAGCAACAAAAGGGAAACGTCCTTGAGATATCCTGAGAGCTCTCTGCTTTTCTTATACCATTGCCCCACATTGCATGATCCACGGCAGTTGTTAACAGATCTTCCTTGGGCAGGGCACACAGCACTAACTGCAACGTATATGGATTGAACTGCACATGCAGGAAAAACATGTGTACTGCAATCCTAGGACTGTACTACTTCAGAAAGAAGGCACGGGTTACATTCTTGAATCTCCCCCTTCTCGTTCTTTTGTTTTTGTTATTTTAAAGAAACAAGAACTAGCATTTCTAGGAGAGAGTTAGACCAGAGCTCTTCCCTCTCAACATTAGAACATGGGACTTTGTTCATGAGAGGATATCAGAAGGTGTGTGTTTTCTTCCATCTACGCTTGAAATGGTACAGTCTCAGGAGGACTGTCTTGTGTTAAAAAATGAAGGCCAATAAGAGATGTGCCTAAGCCTACAGGGAGCATCCTAACAGCAACTGGAACCCAGGTGCCTTATTTCCAGCTGATCAGTTGCCAAAGAGTGAGCTATTCCTCTGGTTGGTTTGATACAAACTAATTCCATTGCATCATAATCTGGCTACTTAAGGGGGCTGTATCACATTCTTTATTCTGAATATTTGACTCCTGAGGAGTCACTTCTTGGGGATGCATCTAGAATTTGAGTTTCTTGCAGTCCAGTTGGGGAAAGTTAATTCCCTCCCCCCGGTCACCTAGGTGTCCTGATGGAGAAGAGATGGTGAAGCCTTGCACCCCAGAACGTGACATACAGTGTGGGCCAATCCCAACAAGCTCGACAGTTCCAACAATCTCACCAGCTCCTTCATCAGGAAAGAACAGTAGGTTTGGGGGTTTTTTTGGGTTTGTGTGTGTGTGTGTGTGGATCTAGTGGGTGGGAAAGGCAGTGTTACTTCCAGCACTGTGCTGAAAGTGGCCCAGTTTTGCTATTATGAGCTGGAGTGAGGTACTGAATGCAAATTACAACTTCATTATTATCTTACCCAATTATATTTTACCTTTCTTTGCAAATTCTATAACAGTGACTCCACTTTGGGTACTTTGTGGCATCGCCCTTGTATGCATCATTGTTTTACTGATGTATAAGTACAGAAGGAATCTCCGGTGCTGTTTTAGAGGTAAGAATGGTATTTCAGCCTTAAGTATTGGGGAGACAAAATCCTAACCATCTCAGTTGTCATTGGCCAGGGTATAGTTGTAATACTGGGGCCGTGGGTGTACTATGTTAAAAGAAAGTAAAGATTTGCACCCAAGCAACCAAAATCCGGCCACAAAGAGCAGAATGCCGCAACCAGTATTTTATAATCATTCTGTCAGATCCCTGGTTCAATCAGCTCTTAGTCCCATAGTCTTTTAAGAAACGTTTATTAGGATTTAAGAGAAGTTGTTACAGGATAGATTCTTTGTTCAGACTGAGATGCAAAAGCCAGGTGTAGGGTTTGTATACACAGACAACAGATCTACATCCCATGATCCCCTGCCCCATGGCATCACGTGCGCAGAGGTTTTATTATCCCGCAGCAAATGGTGCCTTTGAAGTGTCTCCTCCAGTTCATTCCATGAGAGAGTTAGCATCTTTTAGTTAGGGAATGCACTCATACAAACACACACACATACCTTCTCCCCAGCCCCTCCCCACCCCCAGCTTTATGGCAGGTCCGGCTGTGAAGCAAGTTACATTGCAGAGATGCCCGAATCTGACACATTCATAGTTTATTCTGAAGTAGGGGTGTGCAAAAAAATAATAATAATAATTCCGCCCGATTCAGATTCTGCCAAATCGGGCAGAATTAATTTCGGCTGGCATAAAGACTCCTGCATGTCAATTTCAGCAGTACCAGCCCATTCAGGAGTCTTTTGGCCAGCCGAATGTCAGTTTCAGCCCCATTATATCCTATGGGCCATTGAAGTCAATGGCGAAAACATAGGGTATATTCTGGGGGCTGGAGGGGGAGGGGATTTGAGGGAGAGGCTCCAAACTCGCAGGTTAGCCCATTGTTCTCTATGGTGGAGGAAAAAGTTACTTTTTCTCCACCATAGAGAACAATGGAGGGGATGGGGGCAACTTGTTTGGGGGCCCGTAGAATTGGACCCCCTGGTCCAATGTTCTTCAAACCTGGTTGGTATCTTGGGGAGAGGCTTCAGCATCTATCCTCCAAGTTTGGAGCCTCTCCCTCAAACCCCCTCCCCTCCAGCCCCCAGAATATACCCTATGTTTTCACCATTGACTTCAATGGCCCATAGGATATCATGGGGCCGAATTGCGCTGAAATTCGACGGCAAGCCAATTCAGATCAGAGAATCTGAATCGGCCTGCAGCAGCCCAAAAGGGGTCCGAATGGGCCATTTTCTGGGGTGCATTCGGTTCGAATGAACCGAATACACATCCCTATTCTGAAGTTACTAGTCAGAGAATGGTCAAGAGAGATGGAAGTTCCCCTCCTCCAGCTACTGAAAATCGTATTCAGCAAGCTATCTGGCTTCTGGGATTTCTGTGGGGATTGCCTACATGCCTTCTAGCATGTCTCTGCTGCATAAGATCTAGAAATTTGCTGCCTTATAAAAGTAGACTTTATCCATTTGCTGGATTCTAAACTTGGCTGCTGCTGCAGTCTGCACTTTTGTTGCTTCCTCCTCAAAACTTACACAGTTGAGTAGAAAAGGAGTTGCTTGCCCCCATAACACTTGTATTGGTAGTGTTTCACACAGAGCTGCAAACCTAAATTCAGTGAACAGGAAGTAGCATGAATATGGCACATTACTTTTTTTGTATTTTTGGGTCCTCATGCCTTATCAAGGACAGTAATGCATTATATCAGTGCCCCAACACCCAGCTCCCTATTCTCTGAATAAAAGTCAAGATGCTGGTTCTAATCTACAAAGTAGCTTCAACATACTTTTGTTTCTACCTTTCTCTTGTGTCCCATTAGCGCTTGAAATACAAAGGCTGTCATAATGCATCAACTTATGTCATCAAGAATGGAGGAATGGTTTTCTTGGTAGCTGCCACCTCACCATGAGGGGTATTCCTACTGCACGTTCCCCCAAAATCCAGTTCTAAGTACACTCAGAAGCATTGTAAGGCGTACCTGTTTGGTCTGGCCTTTGGGAACTCAGCGTGACAATTAGTAATGTGTGTGGGGTATTAATAAATTTGAGTAAAATCTATTTCTCTATTGCTGCTTTTTTTTTTTTGCTTACCTGTCATGAACTTTTGACATGGGATGAATGATAACTGTCTAAATATTAAATAAGAGTGTAAGAATTCCCCTGCTGGATCAGACTGGAGTCTACTTTGTATCTGAGGAAGGGAGCTTTGATTCTCAAAGCTTTATATGCCAAAAATCTTGTTGGTCTCTGCTAACAGAGTTGAATCTACTTTGCCAGCATACTGTTTCCAGCAGAGGCCAGCCAGATGTCGGTCAGCAAAAATGGCAGGTGGACCCAACAGTAGTACATAAAGGAACCCCAACATCTAATGTTCAGTTGTGCATGACTGAACTGTGATGGCTAAATTTAACCTTTGTGACAGTAGTTATTGATAGGTTCATCCATAAATTGTGTAGCATCTAGAAAAGGACAGCAATTTCATGCAGAACTTGTAGCACCTTGTACTAAAGGGAGATTGTAGTGTCTCACCTGTCTGTTGGTGGTTACTGCAGGAAACAAAAGCCTGCTGATAATTTTATGTAGCTTCTCTGACCAACAAGGGGCTTATCAGGCATGGCCTTCTCATCACTGTTTGCCTTAGTGAGTGTGAAGGTTCAGGCATGCTGACTTTGGAGGCGGAGGGTCCTCCCACATCAGAAACTTGAGAATGTTGGGCTTGATCATGATGGAGGGGCAAGTGGCAACTTCTGTTATTGGCTTTTTGACTAAAATGGTTGTTCTAGCCCTGATCTGGGCATTTCAAGCTGAAGTTTACTAATGGCCTTCTGCCCTCTCTTTCAGACCACACAACAACAACAACAACAACAACTAGAGCAAACTCGATCTGCACAAAGGTGAGTAAATGTGATCTTCTTCCATCTTTGCAGAAGGTAGAAATCAACTAGTGAGGCAGGGAGGGGGATCGCATCCCCTCACCCTGGTTCTTCTCCCCACATTTCCCCTCCTTCCTTCCCCTTCACAGCCCCTGCAGCTTCTCCCCTTTTCCCTGCTTCTTTCCTTCCCACCCTCCCTTCTCTGTTCAACCCTTCAGTCACTTACCTCCAAGCCACCTAGCCTTCCTTCCCTTCCATCTTGCTGCATTTTTTCTTTTTTCTCCCCCACCCCATTCTTCTTCTCTCTGCTACCCAGGCTTTATTTCTTTTGAAGATTTATACACTATCTTTCAAACACATGACCATTGAGGCAGTTTACAATCAGCAGGTTAAAAGTGAGATTTACAAAAACAAAACACAGCAGCCCCTTAGCAGAAGGTGAGGTGGTGGTTCTCATATCGGCAGTCCTTGGATAACTGATGGAGTATCTTTTCTGCTAGGGTGGGTGGCTGTTGTCCAGCGGGGGCTTCTTGTTGCCACTTCTTCCAACTGCTTGGTTTTGTGTTTCAGTTGCCCCCCTCCCATCTCAGTGTGGGCAGCTATTAACCCTTTTGTGTGTGGGGGCTAATGCATGTTTTGTACTTATTGCAAGACTCTCCTGTGGCTGCAGACAAAATGTGCTCATGGACAACCGGGGAGTGAAGACAATGAATGGAATACACAAGTAGACATGGCACCCCAAAGTCACCCTGGCCCCAGTGCAACTAGGCAGCCTGATGAAACAATTCCTTTGCAAGAGAAGGTAACTGGAGGCTTTATTATTTATTTATTTATTTATTTTTATTTCACTTATACCCCGCCCTCCCCGCAAGCGGGCTCAGGGTGGCTTACATAGGCACAACTGTGCAATAAAATACAACAGGATTAAAGCAGTTAAGGCACCAAGTGCAATAAAAATAGGACAAGTTAAAACAATTAAAACAAAAACTCATATCTTGCAGGATATATTAGGAACTAAAATACTCACTCCCTATTGTATATCGCGGTGGGATCAAGAGGGGGGACGCCATGGTCCAAGATGTTCCAGATGGCCAGTTGGCCCAACCCAGTGGCCCTGCTCTGCAGTTACTTGGTGGTGGTGGTGGTGGTGGCTCCTACTCAAAAGCCTGGCGGAAGAGCTCCGTCTTGCAGAACCTGCGGAACTGTAAGAGGTCCCGCAGGGCCCTGATCTCCTCCGGGAGCTCATTCCACCAGGTAGGAGCCGCCACTGAGAAGGACCTGGCCCTTGTGGCTGCAAGCCTGGCCTCTTTAGGACCCGGGGTCACTAGGCGGTGTTGTGACCCCAACAGAAGTGCTCTTTGGGGCCTGTATAGGGAAAGGCGGTCCCTCAGGTATGCCGGACCCTGGCCAGATAGGGCTTTAAAGGTAAGCACCAGCACTTTGAAGTGAATCCGGAATGCTATAGGCATCCAGTGCAGCACTTTCAGCACAGGTTGGATGTGATCACATTTAGGGACACCCAACAACAACCTGGCTGCCGCATTCTGCACCAGCTGCAGCCTCCGAATTTGCGACAAAGGCAGCCCCATGTAGAGAGCGTTGCAGTAGTCTAGGGCTTGCTTTGAATACGCAGTGACTGAGTCTTAAAATAAAGACAAAATTAAACTTGCATGCCTAGGATGAGTCTTAGAACAAAGGATGGTGGTGCAGATGTTGCTAATTAAATTACAAATAGCCAGATGGATACCAATTGCTCATTTTCATCTCTCCTGTTCAGCTATTGTCTCGAATTAGTTTCTTTGTAGAATTAGATAGCAACAATGCCTGCAGTGTGACATATCTCATCTAGCATATCTCCACACCCATACTCTTCCATGAGATAGTTTGTCTACTTTCTGACATTGTAGAAATGCCTAATTCCCATAGAAGAGGAGAGGAGGAAGCTCGTTCCCGCAAATGGGAAGGACCCAGAAGATGGTAAGTGTTCTTCTGATCTTGGACCTCAACTTGAACAAACTGTCCCACGTTTTCCTGCATGCATGTTGGTGCTATATAAATTTTTCCTTAATATTCAAAGACCTGAGATGAACTCACTGTGAACCTAACTTGGGCCTATTTCTAAGGTTGCCAGGCATGCACCTACTGCAAATTTTGCTACCTCCGGCTTTGAAAGAATTGGTTCCCATAACAGGAACCCCATAGGAAGCCTTGGGCTAGTATGTGTGGTCGGAGGCAGTCCTTCCTTCAGGTGGTTAATATTTTTGCTCCTGAATTTCATAGCAGTTGAAACTTCTGAACCACATGGTGTCCACTACAGTTGTCCCATCTGGATGTTACCAGAGTTTGCATTCCAGATGGTTAATATTTTTGCTCCTGAGTTTCATAGCAGTTGAAACTTCTGGACCACATGGTGTCCACTACAGTTGTCCAATCTGGATGTTACCAGAGTTTGCATTCCAGTGGCCAAGTAAGGGGAACAGCTGCAATGGGTAAAACAAGTGCTCTCTGAGGCAGGTGCTTTCAGAAATGACCCATACAGGGATTTACTGATGGACTGTGGTCTGTCTTCGGCCCATCCTCCTGTGATAGCACTTTGAAGCCCCTGTGAAGAAATGCATTTTTCCTTTGGATGTTTGGAATGAGCAAAATCTTCACTTGGGAGTTTTAAAAGTTTTCCTTTCTCTCTGGGCAGAGAACAGGCAGGAAGGGGGAAAGTTAGGGATGCCAGTCCCTGGGTGGGGCCATGGGATCCCCAATGTCGTGGGCTCCTGTCTGCCTCTGGCCAGCAGGGAAAGCCCTGCCTCCAAACCCCACCACCAACAGTGGTCACTGGCAGCCATTCCTCTTCCTTCCCTCCTGTGAGACTTAAAAGGCCCTCCAGCTGATAAGCAGGAATTTGCCGCTTGGAGTTCAGGTGTGGTCCTCCCCCCATTTCTTGCCCAAAGTATTTAAAGAGACCCTTTAAATGCCTTTGGCAAGAAACGGTGTGTGTGTGCGCGCTTGCTTGAACTCCAAGCAGTGAATTTGCCACGGAGTGCGGGGTGCCAGTCCCCAACATGATGTCACTTCTGCATGACATCATCACATTGGGGACGTCCCTGCCCCCTCCAGAAATGCCCCCCAGGTCACTTGCTGGGGACTAGGGGTGACCTGGCAACCGTAGGAGAAGTCAGTTCAATGGCTTTCCAGACTTATTTCAGCTCATACTGATAGGTCTAGACAATGGAATGGCCAAGCTTCCCCACTCTATCTCCAAGCAGGGAGCAGAGATTTGATGTATTAGCAGAAAGGGCCTTGATTGTTCAGACTGTTTTCTTTTTCTGTTATAATACAGTTGTTATGTCAATAAAGGTTGTTCTTCTAAAAAAAAGAGAGAGAGATCTGGAGGAATTAGAGACTTCATGAAGGAGATTTCTGGAGGCTTCAAGAAAAGTTTCTTCCCCCCCCCCCAGCCTGACTTGGTCAGTGGGTAGAGAAACAGATATGATAAAAACTCCTTGCAGCAAGGAGGAGGCCCTCTTTTGTGCTGGGTCCACCTGAGCAGACAGAACTCTTAATTGAGGTCTGGAGGAGGTGATTATTAGCCATGGGGTGGCCTGATCAGCTGAAGGAAGCTTCAAGTTAATAGACTCTGTAGAGATCTGTAACTTCCTATGCTAAGGAGCCTGTCCTGTATTTTCACATCTGGATCGGGCATGTATAGACAGAGTTTTACCCATTTCTTTTTAATCCCTTGCTCAATCTGATGCTGTGCTAAAAGTATGCTTGTGGATATTTTCTTTTTAATTAATACTTTATAACTTTTTATGCTGGTAGTGGTTCTCTGTACCACATAGACCATGCTATTTTAAAAGGGGCGCCAGGGGGAAGGCAGTCAGTTGGCAAGTGGGCATTCTTAGAGGGGCACACAAGGAAGTAAATGGTCCCCGAGGTGACCAGGCGTGGGCAGCGAGAGACACAGAACTTTGAAGGGAAGCTGGGAATCCTGACCCTCCCCAGTGTGCAATTCTTATAAAGGTCAGGTGGTGGCATCAGGTTACCGGAGAGAGAGAAAAGACTCTCCAGGTGTTGGGAAGACCTTGGAGGGCAGGATGGAACAGGGCCTGCAGGTCAGAGCAGGCCCTTTTCACCACAATTTGGCAGCACGGTAAGATAAGGATGGAGAATTTGATTGGCCAAGGATTGTGAATTTGGCATGCACAGGCACAGAGAGAGCAATTGAAGTTTTATTTTGTTTTTTCAGGTTAATTGGAGTAGGGTCAGATCAGACTAGCTAGGATGGAGTTAGCAGAGCAAGTGAGAATACTTAAGCTAACAAAGCAAGAGCTGCAGGAGGAATGCCAGAAGCAGCAGGTAGATGGTGAGAACAGGACTGTTGATGAGATGAAGGCTCTCTTGCTAAGTGCTGGCAAGTCAGTAGGGGAAGCTGCAGCTGAGCGCCCAAGCCAGCAGAACAAGGTCCAGCTCAAGGAGATAGGGCTAGAAAAGCTGCATTTGCAATTCCCTAGGAAATTGTGTTCAGATTTTGCCTTCAGAGATTGATCAAGTTTTTGTACTTAGAAGCTTAAGGTTTAGGATTTTTTTTGTTTTTTAGTTTGTTAAATGAGCCACAAAATGTTGCATTCTGCACCCAATACTGCATCATTTGTTGTGTGTCCCCCTCCGTGCTGACTCCCGCAGAATTATGGCATTCATACAGCATCTTGTCTACTCTCCTTCTAGCTCTACGTCTGTCTTTCTTACGTATCGCACAAGACGTGCCCCTCAACAAGTGGCATCCCTACATGATAGTCCTTGGTTTGACAGACACTGAGATTGAAATTGCTGAAGCGAATGACAAAGGCAATGTGGTTGAGCAGCACTTTCAGATGCTTCGGATGTGGAAGGAGAAAAATGGGACAAAGGCATCTTTAGACGCTTTGCTGAAAACACTCTGTGACCCAGCTGTGAATCTCAAGGGGGTTGAGCGAAAAATTAGGGAAGCCTTGATCTCCATGCATCTGTATGCCTATGAAGAATGAATCCTAAAGGCATGAATGTCTCTTCACAGACCTGGCCTGCAAAGTAATTACCTGCCTTTGGTTTTTTCGGGAGAGTGTCAACGTTATCTCTGCAAAGCCCTGCAAAATGTGTTGCTTCATTGGTGCCAGGTTCTTTTTTCCGGAATATAAGCTGCTGGTACCTCCTACTCAGGCAGAAAACTGATCTGCTGACAAAGTGTTTTTTTCCAGGAATTGTAAGGGATAGAGAATGCATCCTGGTGGTTCATACTGACTGGACATCGCCAACCTCAGGGATCCAGATTCTTGCCACTGGAGAGTGCTATTTCCTTACCTGGTGTAGAATACACACATACAGTGTGTATCCCTGCCTAGAAGGTTTTGTTTTTTTTAAAAAAATACCTCTTCGTTTGAACTAGCTATTTGCACTGTAAAAATCCTGCCACTCTGAGCATTTCCAGTGTAAAATGGTACCCGTTTTTCTTCATTTTATAAAATGATTTCGTTTGTGGTACCTAAAAACTAAGGTCTGCCTCTTATACTTGCTGTGAACAAAGGGTCTTTGGGCACGCTGACATTCCTCTACTTAGATACTTGGTTCCTTTAGTTTTGTACCAAAGTTGTCTTTGGTGTGGGAACTTTGAATGTTAGTGCTTAAGGATCCTGCTGCTGTCAGGTATGAGAGCGCTTTCAGATAATGCCTTTAATAAAAAGCTGGAATAGCATTTGCTTTTGTCAGAGATGTTAGTACATATATAATATACATGAAAAAATTTCTGTTTTTCTAAGATGATAATTTTAAATTCTGTAATATAAATCAAACAGATTGTTTGTCATATTTGCAAATCATGGATGGGCCAAGGAGCGGTTCCTGCTGCCTTTTTTCAAAACAGCAAGACTGAACATTTTCAGGCATCCGCTGGCTTCAGTGATTGCAACAGCAATTGCCCACTCCCTTTCAATAATTGTTTTTCTGCTATAATCTCTAGAAACTTGATTGAGTGAAAGCTGAAATTCTCAGGAAATGCAGTTCCATAGTTGAAACAACATTTTGTGTGTTCCTGCAGTCCCAAGGAATAATTAAATTTCTTCAGCTTTTTCTCTTTCTATACAACCTTTATGCACTTTGGAAGTAGGTTTAAATCTCCTTTTGGTGCACAGCCAAGAGATCAAAAGAGATTTTCCTGCCTCTTGATGTCATTCATTTATTGGATCAAGTTTTTAATGCTTTGTACTAACAAATCTGAAGTTCATAGGAGCAGTGTTCCCTCTAAGCTGAGTTAGTGTGAGCTAGCTCACAGTTTTTTAGCCTCTAGCTCACACGTTTTTGTCTCAGCTCAGGAAGGATGGCTCCAGAGCAAACTAATTTATGCAGCAGCCAAACCGCTTGCTCACAACTTTAATGCCAGTAGCTCACAAAGTAGAATTTTTGCTCACAAGACTCCACAGTTTAGAGGGAACATTGCATAGGAGTATTAAAAATCCTTCATAAGATGGCATATAGGTTTTTGAAATGTTAAATTTATTATGTGTCTGTATATATGTATATATATATATATATTTATTTTGAGGTATGTTTTCTAGTTTTGTAATTTTTATATACCATCTTCCATTTTGTCCCATAGTATTGGAATAAGCTTCATTAGGTCTTTACTGACCGCAAACGCTGCTTGTTTTGAGAGGATGGTTGAATGCTTTTCTTTCTCAAATGCTTTTTTTCTTTTCTTTTCTGCAGTCTTCTTTTTCTGAACCTTAATTTCTGTTTCTGCTCAGTTCTCTGAAGTGGTTAGAGAGCAAATGTGGTGGATAGAGCTGTACAAAGATGGCCTGGGTTCAAATCTCTGTACAGCCCTGAAAAGCACTAAGTGACACTGTGGTAGGAGTCTGTTTTCCCTGGACTATTTTTAAGATGTACCAGGGAACCCCCATGTAGGCCACTCTTGACTAGACCAAAATTGCATTGGTCTGTGCAACTATGCAAGCGCATTTCTCTCCATCAGTGTCTCTTCAGTTTACTGAGTCTAGTATCCCCTGTAGGGGTGTACAATTTTTTTTAACTGGTATTTTTCGGTTAGGGTCTGCTGGACCCGAAAAACATTTGGTATTTCTGAAAAATCCCAGATCCCAATACTGTTATGGTATTTGGATGTGGGATTTTTCAGAAATCCCGAATTTGTTCGGGTCCAATACTGGTTAAAAAGCTAGACCGATCCTGGAGCTGGCTTGGCTTCTCCTGCAGTCCAATTTAAACCACACTGCAGGAGATGCCAGCCCCCAGGGTCTGCTATGCCAGTGGCTAGCAGATTGCTCCCCACAACACAGTGGATCTTGGGGCTGGCTTCTCCTGCAGCTCGGTTTAAACCGGCTGCACGAGAAGCCAGCCCTAAGCTGAGCGGGGGGGGATCGTTTGCTCCCCTTGGCACAGCTGATCCTTGGGCTGTCTGTCTTCTGCAGTCCCTTTAAACTTTGAAAGCCCAACAAACAGCTGAGAGATGGGAGCGATCTGCTACTGCCTCTCCACTGTTTTTGGGTCTACTGGTAATTCCTGAATATATCCAAGGTTTTTTCAGGAATGTTTTTTTCAGTTTTCCCAAGAAAACCCAGATACATTTGGGAAGCCGAAATATACCCCCCAAAAAACCAATAAGGTATTTTTTGGGTATATTTTCCATTCAGGTAGATCCAAACGCAGGCCCCTAATCCCTGCATGAGATCCTCGGCACCTAGTGGGACAGACCAAAGAGAATACTCCTTCACATTCTGCATGGTTAATTGAGCAAAGTGTGCTGCCACTGTGCAGGGATGGCCACTGGCTTAGATGGCCTTGTGGTGGTCTAGAGATCATTCAGCTAAACTCTTCCCAAAGGGATCCTTTCTCTCTGTTGTGGGGACCTTACAGGGCCATACAAGCCAAAAACTTGGCCATTTGATTAGAGAACCTAGGAGGGTTGCAGAGTTTAGCCAGAACTCCAGAACAGAGAGCCATCAGCAATGGAGGCAGAAATTTATAACAGCCCCCCCCCTACAGTTGAGGGGTTCAGAGTGAGCAACTTGCCCACTGAGAAATTAAACCATAGGAAAGATTAGCCGATCTGAGTGTGGTTTTAACTTAAAAGTCCAAGCCTCGTCCTCTGCCTTCTGGAGTAGATTCTCTCTGTTGGAGATCTGCAGAGCAGCCAACTGGTCAACACCATCGCCATTTATCAGACACCACAGCACTGATATGGACTCTGAAAGTGATTCTGCTGTAGGCAAAATGGTCTTCTACAGCTTATTTTGTTAAGAGCTCACACACCCAGTTTCTGCTAAGCAAACTCTCCACTCTTCCATGTGAGTCAGCACAGAAAACATTACAATGAAAATAGGGTTGCACTTAGCTGTTAACTGACAGTTCATCAACTGTCTTTCTATGCAGGCACACATCCCTCCCTGTGAACTCTCTAGCTTTTTGATATTGGGTCCTCTTCACTTTGTAGGCACTGAAGGTGGCAACTGTGCTAAAGGGTGGGAAAGCGCCTTGCACTACAAATGTGTATGCTCTGAGCTTTGCTTTCATTCTGAGTGGTACAGAACTGAAGCTTTTGTGCCTTCCTCAAATGGTTCATGATAAATACTGGTTGGGTTGCAAATACAGCATCTTGAACCTTTTAGTTAATAGTTTGAGTTCACTGGTTCTAGGCCCTTCTTCTCAGGGCTCTCCTAACATTGTCAATATTAAAGTCTTAACCTTGAGGTTCAGTCTGGTAGTAGGACTCTTTAACTTCTGCAAGCCCCAATGGTGCCTTTCCTGCTCTCGCAGCAAGTACTTGACTGCTATTTCCCCCTCAGACCCCTTTTCTTCTTTTCCCTCTCTTCAGGCTTGCATTGTGTCCTTTCTTGAAGCGCAAACTGGCTCGCTCAAGTTTTATCCCATTTCTTACAACAGGAAGGAAAGAAACTTAAATTTCTTACCAGTATGGTCTTTTTTGGTAGACTTGAAGCAGAAGATGGGACTTTGGCCACTTTCTTACTGGTCTTTCATCCCTGTCTAAGAGTCCTTTCAGTTAAGTTAGGCTAAGAAATGCCTAACTCCAGGTCTATGTGTTAAGTTTAAAAATGGGTATGTGTGGCTTAAGTTTAAAAATGGGTGTGTGTGGCTTGCAGCTGAATCTTTTTGGTCTTGTTGCAGCCTTACTTAACACACACACACCCCGCTTGCAATGTAAAAAAAAAAAAGAGAAAGCCTTACAGGTTAATATAGGAAAGAGAATATGCTTTGTAATGAATAAAGATACCCAGAGTAACGTACATTATTGTCCTCTCCTCCATTTTATCCTCACAAGAATTCTATGAGCAAAGGTAGGCTGAGAGTGGCCTAGTGTCACCCAGCAGAGCAGAGATTTGAACCTGGGTCTCCCAAATCCTGGTCCAACTGCTGTACCACACTGGCTTTCTACCTCTTCTTGCATTGCTTGGTCTGTCCCAGTATTAGCTACTGTGAGTGTTAGGAACTTTTGGGCCTAGCATAGCTGCTTCTCATTTCTAATACTTAAGAGGTCAGGGATTGAACCTGGGGCCCAAATGCTATGAAAGCATTCAACCAGTGTAACAGAACCGTAGTATAATAGTAATGTGCATGATTGTGTATGATTGTGTAGTCCTGTTGACTAAAGTTACAGTTTGAAGTTCAATGTCCATTTCTTGATATGCTTGTTAAAGTTTTTTTTATTCCTAATTTAAAGTTGTTAAAAGGTTTTTTTATTCCTAATAAAGAATTTGAAAGCAAACAAGGTTGATTTTTCACAACTTAAATGGGATCTCAAGAGTTGTTAACAAATCCAAAGTGTTAATTGTGTTGGCTTATATTTCTTCAATTCTACCAAACGTTCCGAAGTTAGATTACAAGATCTCTTGGGGCAGAGTCCTTTCTCTTTGGTTTTGAAACGCCATGTACGTTATTGGAGCTGTATAAAGATTTTTTAAAATTGCACAGCAAAGCATAAGTCTTTCAGATCTATAAACAGCATTTCAAAAGAGAAGTGAAATTCCTTGCTATTTGTTAACTGATAGTTGACTATACTTTAAGCCATGAGGATGGGATAGAGACCACAAATCCAAGTATGCAAAAAAGTAAGTACTGTCAAGAGCTTAGTTTTAGGTTTTTAATTTTAGCTATTTTGAAAGATAGCATGAAAGCCTTGTAATTTGTTAGGTGGAAACTAGTAATTCCCCCCAAAATGTAACCCTGTGCCGAACTGTAGTTCAGTGATCCATAAAATGATACCCATTTATTTCTTCCACAAAGTGTATCACCTGTTATCTGCAGAGAACACCCATTCAGAAACAGCTACCTGTATCATAGGAAGATGTCTCACTTTAACCTCCCCCCCCCCAGGCATCCATTTTGTGGTGGTGTCCATATAACTTCTCAAAATTTCAGATGTACCCACAGGTTCAATATGATTAGGGACTTTGCTGGTCCTGCCTTCACGTACACTTGGCTTTGAATGAGCTGAGGCCATTCTATTTAGCTTATCCCTTCTCTAGGGTTACCCAGCCTCATCTTCTGCCCCTGTCAAATCACAAAAGGACAACAGCTCTCTTTTTAAAATATCATTTATTAACAACTTGAACCTTTCACACTAAAATTCAAATTGTTGTGTATTGGTTTCTTTCATTAAAAAAAAACAAAACGAAACAGGAGAGACCTGCTGGGGTTTCCTATTCCTTCCGAAGCAGCATCTTCCGAGACATCCGAACAGCACAGGGGTGGAACAGACTCTTTCCTACCATCTTAACCTGGCCCCAGGCTGGTCGATTTGATAAGTTTTGTGTTTTGGGCCACTGACAGAAAGGGGGGAGGGGGAAAACACGACGTTCCCCCGCCGGGGGGGGGGGGGGCTGGTTTCTCAGGCAGCAGTAAGTGTGGCTTCTCTAATCAAGAACCCCCTTACTGTTGCTGCTCAGTTCCAGTGCTGCGTCAGAGCTTTCTGCTGGCCCGTGCCTCCTCCACTGGGGCTTGCTTTTCACAAGGAGGGTCTACGGCCCCCTGCTGCTCCACGGATATCTGTGCCTTTTCTTAAGTAAACATCCCTGCAGTCCGATTTAAATAAATGAGGTGGTGAGTGCAACAGAAAATGGCTGCCTGCCACCCAAAGGAGCCCAGAAGAACACCCGGGCTCCAGCATGTACAGCGACTTGAAATGTCATGACTCACAGAACAAACAATGGGAGGCACCCACTTTTTTTTTTTTTTTTGCTTTTTGCAAAGGGGGAAAAAAATAACCACCTCAGTTTATAAAATAACACAGAAGTGCTGCGTCTTCCTTCTAGCACATTTTCTTTAAAAAATAAAACAAAAACAAAAAACCTCTGGCATTCCTGTAAACGTGAGGTTAGTTCTGCTAGGTGAGCGAGCCTCTTGGTAAAGAAACCAGCATGCCTGCCACTCGTATGGGCGGCCTCTGGCTGCTGAGCGCAACACCAGCTGAGGCAGGGATCAGGACCTCGCGGAGCTCTGTGTTGAGACGTGTGGTGCTCCGGCTCCCGAGCGCCACCTGTGCGGGTTCTTGCCAACCTCTCAGGGACATGATTCATGCGCACTTTCTCCACTGAGGGTTGTAGCTGAGGAGGGGGCCATCTTCTCCAAGCCTGTCGAACCAGATATTGGCTCAGGGCGGTTGGCCCCCTTCTTGTAAGAGACTAGGTAGCAGGGGCAGGACACCTCTCAAACCACAGCTGATGAAGAGGAGGAGGATGAAGATGAAGCTGTGGCCGCTGACGAGGAAGGTGACTGGGCAGGGGAGGAGGCATTCCAAAAGAGCCACCTTCTCTTAGGCTGCCGTTTCTGGTGAAGGTAATCTTCCTTCTCGCGTTCTTTCCTAGCTCTCTGATAGTGGTCCTCCTCCTTCAGGTACCATACAGGGGGCCACCGGTGCTTCTCAAAGTAGTCTTGGTTCTCTGTAGTGGAAAGAAGTAGGGAGGTGAGATGGTGAACTTTAAATTTCCATTATAAAATGCAAAACAGATTTGAACGAATTAATTTCATGTGCATGTTTGTGGGGTAAAGAGAGGGTTTGTGTGTGGGGAGGGAACCTTCCTAAGTTAAGTGCCATTTATCTGCAGCATAATTGGTTGCCATATGTTTTTGTGCTGAGAAGATGAGAATGGTTTGGCAATGGAAAAGAAACAAGGACTGGGAAGAGATATATGAAGCTGCCCAGTACTGAAGCAGAACACTGGGGGTCCATCAAGAAGAAGAAGAGATTGGATTTATGCCGTGCCCTTCACTCAAAGCAGCTTACAGTCTCCTTCCCTTCCTCTCCCCACACCAGCCACCCTGTGAGGTAGGTGGGCCTGAGAGCTCTGACTGAACTGCTCGAGAGAACAGCTCTGAAACAACTTGTGACTGACCCAAGGTCACCCAGCAGCTGCATGTGCAGGAATGGGGATTAAACCCATTTCTCCAGATTAGAGTCCACAGCTCTTAATCACTACACCAAACTCTCTCTCTCTCTCTGTTGGCATTGTTTACTCAGATTGGCAGGTGATCTCCTGAGTTTCAGGCAGAGGTCGGTCGTGTGACCTGATCTTTATACTGGAGATGTCAGGGATCGAGCTGGGGAGCTTTTGCATACCTAACACGAGCCCTACCACCGAGCCATGACCCATGTCTGGGAAGGGACACTTAATTTTCTAATACTGTATCTAGATGCTCTTTCCATCTGTTGGTTATGAGAACATATCTGATTTATTCTTAGACTCTCATGTTCTTCTCTCCTCCACCTTGAATGCAAGCACTGTTAACAAGTTGTTTACTACAAACCGTGATACTCAAGCATTGTTTCAATCCAGTTTTAGAATTCTAGTTTACTGGTAAGGAACAAACATCCAGTTTGTTGAAGCATCGAAATTTGGATGTTGTTAGAAAATGTGCTTAGACTTCCAAATGTAAGTAGTCTTCAAGACCAGCTCCACATAGGAGGGGAAAGGAATGTGTGAAACTGAATAAACCAGGCTCATTTTTTATTGTAAAAAAACAAACCAAGATCTAGCTTTGCCAGATAGTTTGAAATGCCGCTTGGTATGTTTTTTCAGTACAGGCTATATAAAAGAGCTCTATGTGGCCAAGAGAACCTCTTGTCCTTATTTCTAAAAGACACTGTTGCCCTTCTGCATAAATGACACCAAAGGCTGCATCCCACTCCTAATGTGTGCTGACCTGCTGACATTGCCTTCATCTCCCGAGGGAACTTGCGACAGATGTTGTTGTAGTTGGTGCAGATGTGATGCAGGCACCAATCGGCGAGCTGGTAGGCACCGTGGAACTGGGGGGGGAAAGGTTGAAACAAGACAGTTAATAAACTGCAGTGCAACCTACATGTGTTAGCTCAGAGAACTAAACTTCAGAGAGCTATCAAGGCTACTGACTCACATGTGGGCAGAGCACACAACCAGGCAAAGTGGAAGGAAGTCCTTGTAAGCGACTGAAAATGCCAGAACATAAGCACTGCCCTGGCTGGCTATCTCTACCCCACCATCCGGCTAGGAAGGGGCTGCTTGCAAGCAAACGGCAATAGCCATCCACTGCTCTCCCCCATCATCTGATAACTATAGTACATCAGAGCCTCTGAAGGCAGGATTTCCATTCAGCTATGTGGCTGACAGTCTATGATTAAGAGACCTGTCAGCCTTAAGTTTGGCCAATCCTTTTTCAAACTACCACTGACGAGGTCTTTGCTGTCTGGCTGAATCGCTTTTCATGTTTGGAAATGTGCCTTGAGTCTCAGTGAGAAAGGTGGGCTACAGATGAAGTTAATAATAACAACTCTGTAAACCAGTCACACGGTCATAGAATAAGTAATACTTCACTTGTCTTTCAGCATTCTACTGCCAATTGATTTAGTTGGATGATCTAGAATAGTGCTGAGAACAGGCTCTTCTTCACACATTCCTCCACCCCTCCATCTGCCTCTAAAAGCCGGTTCCCATAACTCTTCACGTGCTGGCAGGCCCCAACAGAACCTAGCATGAAGCTAGAGAAATCAATGGCAAGGACTATACGGGCTGGAATTACCTTGATTGTCAATTACTTGGGCTGGTGGGTCTATCAGGGTACAGTGTATATTTAGTTTCCCAGCTGGTCAGGAATTTAAACCATACTATGCTTTAAGCCCCAGTCCAAAACAATTCTTCTTACTAAGGGTCATCTTTTTAACAGTTTTATGGTATGCAAATAAAGAACAGGTTCATTTAGCACAATGGGAGAGAAGTAAGATCCAAATGAGAATTTCACATCAGAAGAGCAGGTCTGAGAAATCTGAACTCATTCCTGGTTGGGGGTTAGTGAGGACTGAACAGCTTGTACCTGAGCTAGCTCCAGGAACACAAGGACATCTCCGTCAATATCCACTAACATCTGAGTTGCCTCCATCAGACCAGACACTGTGAATTGCTCTGTAAAATAAACACATACACAACCAAGGTCAGCGACTAGCAACATGAGCTATTGCTAACAGTAAGGGTGGACAAAAAGTGATGTGCTAATTTAAAAACTGGATTTTAAAATGTTTCTGTTAAAGATCTCAATCATTAGTAGTAAAAAAGAGCAAGAATCCAGTAGTGAAAAAGATCAAGCGTCCAGTAGCACCTTGAAGTCTAACAAAATATGTCGCAGGGTGTGAGCTTTCCTGAGTCACTGCTCACTTCTTCAGTTACTCACGAAAGTGTATACCCTGCAATATATTTTGTTAGTCCTTAAGGTGCTACTGGACTCTTGCTCTTTTCTACTGCTACAGACAGACTAACACGGCTACCCGTCTTGATCTGTCTCAATCATTAGTGTTCCTTTTAAAAAAAAACAACAACTACCTTGTTCAAAATGAAGTTAATATAAACAGCTTTGGTCAGACACTTTACTTTTCTATATTAAAATGATTGGGAAGGCATATAACTCAAGATAAACATTATGCATACGTTATGCTTTGTACCTAGAGCAATTATGAATATCACAGGCTGTACTGACCAAATAACATGAATGTTCTCTTTCTGTGTCAATAGAAAAATACCATTCTGCTTCTGAAAAGTTTCAGCACTTGGACCAAGATCCAAAGAGCTGTTCAGGCACTTGAAAGGGTCTTGAGCTAGCCCAGTGGGATCTCTTCACTCGGGGCAGCTGATCTTCCCCAACCCAAGTCTGTAACAAACTACTTTTGAAAGCCCCCCCAATCCAAAAACTGTTTGCTATTCTGCATGAGGGGGTTTCCATCTGAGAAAAAAGAAGCCCCCCCCCCAATATGCTCAAGGAATTATGATTCTTCGGATGCTGGCTAGTGTCCTTGTGAAATACAGAGAGACCTGTGCATAAATGTAATAACTTCATTACTGTCCCCTTTCCTCCAAGAACCATAATGCTATAGTAGAAAAGGCAATCTGACTACAGGATTACAGCAAGACAGACCACTGGCCTATTGCAGAGTGTGATCTACTCTACTCTGACTAGCTGGCAGTTCTTTAGAGTCTCTCAGACAGAGAGAGCTTTTTCCTAACACCTACTATCTAAAATCCTTTTAACTGGAGATGTTCAGGGCCTTCAGCATCCAAAGCAAGTGCTCTTCGACTGAACCAATGTATGACCATAGGGACTACAAGCACTCCATTTAATTGCACTATGCTATCAGTCAGTCTGAAAAGTATATATTCTTGAAATGTGTATGAATTACAAAAATGTTTATTTTAGGTGGGTTATTGAAATCACCTTTAGTTTAATAAATCTGCCAGCTAACAGGGAAATGAAGATCCACCCAGGCCCTTTGCTGAGTTATGTCAGCCTGAGGTTCAGGTCTTTAAAGTAAAGGTAAAGGTTCCCTTGCTCGAAAGCCAGTCGAATCCGACTCTAGGGTTGCGGTGCTCATCTCCGTTTCAAAGCCAAAGAGCCAGCGCTGTCCGAAGACGTTTCCGTGGTCATGTGGCCAGCATGACTAAACACCAAGGCGCACGGAACGCTGTGACCTTCCCACTGAAGTGCTACCTATTTATTCTGTGGCTACTGTAGAGACCTAGTTGGACACTAGGGGGTGCTGTAAGTTGAAATCAAATAGCAAATGGCTAAGTACAGGCCATCCAGTATGTGTATATATGGAAGTGATTCAATGCATTATAAAATTGCAACAAAATAAAAAAAGTTAACATTGAAAAAATGCCTTTCAGTTCGCTGGCTTAGTAAACAACTGGGTAAAATATTGCCTGCATGCTTCCCCACCCTGCTATTTCAGTAAGCAAAAAGGTGAGACTTTTTTTAAAAAAAACCTGAAAACTCAGAGCAAGCAGGAATGGGCCCCTGCAGTCCCCTCCCATTGCTATGTGAGGCACACAAAAAATATATCCCAGAAGAAGCATCCTACTGGATGAGATCAAAGGCATCTAGTCCCATATTCTGTTTCCTATAGTGGCCAACTGGATGCCTTTAGGAAGCCCATAAGAAGAGCTGGAAAGGAAGGCAGCATCCCTCACCAACTGTCCCCGCCCCCCCCCAAACTGGTATTCAGAGACATGCTGCCTCTGAACATCAAGGCAATGAACTGAACGTTTGATCATTATGGCTAGTAACTACTGGCAGACCTATCCTCCATGATTTGATTTAAGTCCTCTCTAAAACATGTCCACACTTAATGGCCATGACTATATAGCAAATTTCAGTCCACCTCTGGAGACCTTTCACATATGCACAAGAAAACCCCCAGAAACATCTGTATTACCAAGCTTTCTTTGCAACACCCCTCCGAGTCCCACCTTCTAACTGGACTCAGGGATCTCCACTCCTACTCGTATCTGACAAAAGGCACTTTGACTTTCAAAAGCTTATACTTGTTGGTCTCTGATATGCTACTGGCCTCAAATTTAGCTCTGTATTACAAAGGTTAACTAGATTACTTTTAACGGAAAGGTAAGCAAGTACCACCATGGCTCTCCCTTAATACATTTCTGGCCACTGATGTGCTCTACGCTCCATTAAGCAGAAAAGTGTTGGACGACAGGGGATTACTCACTTCTTCTGAGCACTGTCAACCCAAGCAGACGAGGCATATAGTCCTTGCACAGCCCAGTGTGCACAGGAGACCGGCTCAGAGAGTTCCACATCTTGACCCAGTCAAGACAGCAACAACAACACGGAATGGACCAATAAGGAACTTGCACCTCTTTCAGCAATTAGGTACCCTTTTAGGCAAGCCAACCTCTGAATTTGCAAACTGTATATCTTGCTCCCAAAGGTGGTCTCTGGCACCAAATCCTGCAACCCTGCCAGCGTCTTCAAGAAAGTACCAAGACAGCTCTCCAGATAATGCACTAATACCCAGGTCTCTGCCCTTTTCAAGCATTTCCTTCAAAGGGGCAGAGAAAACATCAAAGACCCAAAAGCCCCAGCCTTTTCTTGGTCCATAATGCACAGACTTCCTTGGCTGGCCACACAGACCTGTATGACTACAGCCATGGAATCGGAATCTCACCCACAGCACCCCAAAATTACCTGTGAGAGCAACCAGGTGCGGCAGACACAAGCGGTTGGCCAGGATGATGAGCTTCATGTAATCTAGGTCTGCTGTAGAACAGAACTGACCGGTGTACAGGTACTCCAGCACCGCCCGCATGCAGCTCTTGCTCGTGTAAGGTAACACCACCTGTACCAGAAGGAACATGAGCACAAAGAGGGTTCAGTTTCTCGGCACATTCAGAAGGAGAAGGTTGCACAATTCTGTGTATCCTTAACCAGTTTGTGACACTATTACAGCAGGACTGTCTTATTTTAAACTTATTCTATCCATAACTGCTGTCCTCTTGCCTCTTGTGCAGCTGGCATCGATTTCAGGAAGGCCTGTGCAGGCGGACAGTGCCCTGTGCATCAGAGCCACTGTCCTTAAGGGCACCCCAAATCCATGGCAGATGCCTCATCCTAGGGGTGCTTCTGAATACAAATGGCCGGCCGCTTTTATAAAGTCTCCCTCCTGCTTCAACTCTAGTTTGCTGCACAGAATGGAGAGGCTCTTTTCCCTTACGACAGAGCTGCGGCTTGTGCTAAAATCCTTGCCTTCCTGACTCCTGTCCCCTTCTCTTGGGACGCGGGATGGAAAGTCCCGTGTGAAAGCAAACAGCAGGCGTACACCATCTGTCTTTAATGCTGCAGATCTGGTCCTCTGGGAGCTCAGCTCAGCTGTGCGAACACTTGCTCATCAGAACCACTGACTCATCAGGTGTGGTGGGGTCCTCCCCCCCCCAAAAAAAGGGGTTGTGGCCAGTGTTCCCTCTAAGCTGAGTTGGTGTGAGCTAGCTCACGGTTTTTTAGCCTCCGGCTCACACATTTTTGTCTTGGCTCAGAAAGGAGGGCTCCAGAACAGACAAATTTATGCAGCAGCCAAATTGCTCGCTCACAACTTTAATGCCAGGAGCTCACAAAGTAGGATTTTTGCTCACAAGACTCCACTGCTTAGAGGGAACATTGTTTGTGGCTCAAGCTGGAAAAGGAAGACAGTAGTAGTGCAATCCTGAGGTTTCCAGGCCCTCGGCTCTCTCACCTCGCGCGTTGAGCTCTCCACAAACGGGCCCCCGAACATAGCAGCCATCCAGTCGCAGCTGGAAATCAGCAAGGGCTTGTGGGCACTGATAGCACCATCGTCCAGGATAAAGGTGACATCTGCAAGCAAGCAAAGGCCCATTAGCACACTGTAAGGGGGTCAGACTGTGATGCATCGTGCTGCTACCCCACCCCCCCCGCTGCAGCTGCCAAACCCAAAAGGAAGCTGCATCCCTGTCCTGCTCACCATGACAATCCCAGACCCACCACAGACAGGAATCACTGCAAGACTGACTGCCAGTACTGTGTAGTGGTTAGAGAGCTGGGTGAGGTGTTGGAAGACCAAAGTTCAAATCTCCACTGGCTGTGAAGCTCATAGGGTGGACATGAGTCGGTCAGTACCTCTCAAGTTTCACCTATCTTTTTTCAGGGTCAGTGTGAGGATAAAATGGAGGAAGGGAGAACTTTGTACAGCACCCTGAACTTGAGAAGACTTCATTTTTTGCAAGATCAATTTCACTCGTGGGCATTACAAACTACTTGTGCACACAGAGTCCGGAGGCAAGAGCTAATGGGCTGGGTTCGACCAGTAATTGCCATCCACAGCATCCTGTTGGGAGCCAATGGGAACTGCAGGCAACTTGGTCAAGCCCAATCCAGCACACATTCGGTCACGGATGACGTACTAATAGCCCTGCGAAAAAGCGTGATCTGGGACTCCGACAGCAATGTGTTGTCCTGTGCCAAGGCCACTTGATGGGACGCTTCTGAGGCTTTAAAAATGCACTTCAGCAATCCAGAAACATCTCACAAATTGCTAACTGATTGGAGGAAAGAGCCATGGCCAATCTCTAACTCTCCAGCGTGGTTCAGGACAGATGGAAAGTCAGTCTTCAGACCGCTGTGTTTATAATACAAGTTTAATAATAACAGGGTGTATTTGTTGATGTTTATTACTGACAGCCGCAGCCGTCCCCATCAACAGTATTTACAGCAACAGAGGAAGACAAAATTCCATGGGAATAGCAGGAAACGGAACACTGGGACAGAATTTTCTGGGCAACAGAAAACTGGCAATATAAACACCAAAGAACAATTGGCATCTGCACAGGAAACATTAGGAAGCTTTGAAGGACACAGCAGAAGGTGCCGAGCAGCTCCAGTAGCCTCAGTATTCCTTCTGCAGAGTTAAAGAAGGGCTAGGTTATACACAGCACGGAGTTTGGCACTACAGCTTTTCCTGGGCGGTTCTACTTCAGGCTGTCCATTTGAAGGCCCCCGTCTTTAAAATAATACCTCCATGCACATTATAACTAGTTATCGGAAGGAAGGGCTCAGACTAGCTTTCTCGCTGACAGGTTATTTGTCAACACACTGGAAGGTTTTTGAACAGAACATGTAGGAAACTAGCAAATCAGGGAGAAAGGCTTACTGTAACCCTTCTAGTGTGCTACTTTACTACCTGTAGTAAAGATCAAAGATCTAGTGTGCTACTTTACTACCTGTAGGGAACAGTGTAACATGGGGAAGCATTAAAAAAGTATTTCCCCACAAGGTGCTGAGGCCAGGATACACAGCTCTCCCCTTTTCCTGACAATATCCCTGTGACAGAAGACGACTGGGCCCATGGTCAGCCAGTGAGCTCACCAGCTGAGATGGGATTTGAACGTGGGTCTATTTGGTCCTAGTATGACACTGTAACCACTACACCACAGTGATTCACAATACGATGCATGCACACACCAGAAACACATTTGTAGCAGAACCCCAAAACCTAGCACCTTATTTTGCATATTTTAGCCCGGACTGAAATGGCCATCTGACTTGACCTTCATCTCCATTTAAATTGTGCTGCTGCCTGTGTACAGCGGCTGCACATGTAACTCTGGATAGCCATAGACTGTGTGGGTATGCAGCATATTAACTAAGTGCATGTACTTGCTTTTCCACACTTAGCCCTGCTTCAAGTAGATGCCTGAACACACACAAAGTCAGATGGGCAAATTCTACTGCCTCACTGATGGCACCTTCAGATCAGGCCTTGTGGAATGGCTCCAGGGCGGCAGGAGCGGTCTTCTCACGCAAGAACAGGGTCTTGGGGGTATAACTGCCCATCTGCTCACCTGAGCCTGTCTGAACCCCGCTCCCCAAGTTAACATCCATGACCCAAATAGCTGTCACTGCTTGACAACGTACCGGAAAAAGTCCCTTTAGCCAGGCACTCCTTAACACGGTTGGTTCTCCTGACGTGGAAGGCTTTGGTGATCTCCTGGTTCATGAACGCCTCATTGTTTAGGATGTTAGCCACCATCATCCTGAGGTCGAAGACTTCCAGCAACTCAGCAATGTGGGCGATATGCATGAGGTCCCGCTCATTCTCATCCAGCTCCCCCGTGTACAGGTATTTGAGCACAGCCCTGAAGGGCCCCAACTGGATGGAAGGGTCCATCTTCACCACCACCATAAGTCGGGGCTTGTAGGTCATGGGGTCGTCTGCCATCTCTTCCTGGATGCTGACAAAGGCACGGCTCCAAGAGGAGAGAATCCTCCCCCGCTTTAACCCACTTTCCCCGTAGTTCTTACCCCGTAATATCCCATCGCTGGTGGAGGCTCTAAGGCACGGTTTTTGCTGGCCAGAGCCAGCGTCCTCAGCACTCTCGCAGATATCAAAGCTAGCAGCTCTCAGGAGGAATTCTCGCCCATGATGCCTTTCTTCCTGATGGAACGATCGCTCCGCAATGCCGGCCGCAGCGCCACTTCCTAGGGTGCCCTGCTGGTCCTCCTCATTCAAGTCCATTAAGAACAAGTCGTAGAACTTGGAGGAGGAGGTGGAGAGGTAGATCTTGTGCGCGTAGATTTTGATCTTCTCTTGCAGCACCAGGATGACATCTGCACACAAGGGGTCCTCCAGCAAGTGGGCAGGGCGCTCTTCGTTGTTGGAAGGAGGGTCGGGGACAATGATGATGGGTGGGGGTGGCTTGGGGGGCAAAAACGGGGCCTGGAGCAACGGCCTCTGAACATTACGTAGATGGGACTTCCAGAACTGGAGATGCCGGCGGGAGATGAGGGCAGCTCTTATGGCATTATCGAAGACGTCCTTGATGCCAAACTGGGCTACAACACTGGTCTCGTAATAGGGGATCCCCAGCTCTTTGGCCACCTCTCGCCCCTTTTCTGGGGGGAGAATTTCATTGGGCTTGATTGGCCTGAAACAACAGAAGGAAGAAAAGCAAATTTAAGGTTTGCACAGTAATTGACAAGACTTCACAAGGTCAACATGACAATCAGATCAAGACTGGTTCAGGCACCGCTGCACCCCAGGCAGCAGACTGCGACAAGTAGGCTATACCTACTTTCTACTTCCTTTCTACTCTCCTTTTCTCTGATTGCTGTTAATCTCATTTTCCCCCCTTCCTTAAACGTGTATCCGACATCATAGGTTAGGGAACATCGCACCTGGTGCTAAATCTGAACTGAAAGCCTAAAAATTGCTCTTTTTAGAAATGCTGATATGGGAGAACTCGGGACTGACATCGTTCTTCAGACTGGGTCAATATCACAGCATACGCTAGTTTGCAAACTATCCCTGTCTGTAGTGCAGATGAGGCAGGCACCTGCCAGGGCTGCAGACTGCTGCACACGTAGACCAGTCCTGGGATCTAGCCAAGCTCCCAAGACTTCACCCCCTGCAGTCCAAGATTCCCACAAATGCTCGTATCGCAGAACCAGTGCCACAAGTTGGCAACTCACGGCCAAGCCCATCCAACCCGCTTGCCTCTGCCTTGCAGTCTGATCTACCTGGCTAGTGGTCGCCTAGCTCGATTGACTGCTTCCAGGTCAGCGTAGCGAAGGTCCAGCTGGCAGCCCACGAGGATGACAGGTGCTCGGGGGCAGAAGTGTTTGATCTCAGGGTACCACATGGTCTTCACATGGTGCAGGGAATTGGGGTTAGCAATGGAGAAGCACAGCACTACAACATCAGATCTGTCAACAGAGAGGAGGGAAGAATCAATGAGATGGCCTTCTCTTTGCAACAGAGAGCACCGGAGGGTGCAAGCATGCACCTTATATGACACCCACTCAAGCTTGTGAAGGGGAAACCATGCACATATTTATTCCCCCCCCCCCATTTCCTCATCTCAGTGCAAAATCCATGCAGTTATAACTGCTAGCAAATGCCTTTGTCGTCATGGATGGTGTATATGGAAGATCAGTATACTACAAGCACCCTTGGGAAGATGCAAAGAGTCTGTGCATTAATTGGGGTGGGGGCTAAATGTTAGCCTTTGCCCCATGTCCACTGTCCAATATAACCCAAAGGGAGCCACTGTTCCTATTCAAATATTCCCATCCCATCTGTATAAATCAAAACAGTTCATCTGCATAGCTCTGCCTATGCATGTCAGAAACTCTTCTCTGCCGTTCTTCTCAGTCCTGGCCATTGCTTCCCTCCCCTAATATCCCTTTGTGTTTCACCCTCCCCCCCAACAATGCATTTCTGTAGACTCCCTACCATTCCTGTTCATTTCTCTTCCCATCACAGAGTGTACACTCTGTCCCCCTCTGCCGCCTTTCCATCTTCTCCCATCATGTGGCTGCCCCCAATAATGTGTCCTCACCTTCCATAAGCGAAGCGCCTGTCCTTGTGATGGTCTCCGAATGTGTCCCAAAGTCGCAAGGATACACTAACATCATCTACCACATCTCTGGAGCGTTCCAATACCTGGAGGGAAAGGAGAGGTTCAATTGCCCGGCTGCCTTTAGGTGAAAAGGATGGGGAGCAATTCCCCAAAAGCTTATAGGTGTCTCCTCCAACCCAGGAAGGTATTTAGGGTCATCATCTCAGCTGAACCACCTCTGAAAGAGGAAGTGTCACTAGCACAAGAACCCCACTACTACCACCAAGGACAGCACTCACCTCCTGGCAAACACGATACTGGTCAATGGCCCAGACCGTGGGCACATGGGTGGCAAGAAGCTGGTACTGAGTCAGAGTGGCATTGCAAGCCCGGGCACAGATGAGCCTGGTCTTGCCCACTGCGTTGTCCCCAACCACGACACACTTGATGGTTTCTACGTTTGGCCTTTCATAATCCATGTCAGAATCCATTAATTGGGACCTGCATCAGTAGAGAGGAAAAGATAACAGAAAAGGTGTGTTAGATTCAACGAAAGATTTCTGTGGCTTGCCTTGTTTCCTTCCTAAACCTGCCTTCCTGCTTTCTGCCCAGCCTAGGGGATGAGACCTCTACCCCATCCCCACAATGCCTTGTCACTGCCTCTCAGCCATACAACAAACACTACCAAGCAGATGCTCTTTGATCAACCCACTGTTTCGCAATGCAAGAGGTTGCTGCTCATTTACTTGGCACTCCCCTGCTCCACACTGATGCATAAACAGTAAGCATCTCTAGTCCCTTCCCAGCTCCAAAATCAATGAATTCACACTCTTGATGAAACTGCTGCAAAACCAGATTCCACAGGACATAAAGTCCAACCAAACAACCAAAGACCACAAAAAAAGCATTCTCTTACAACCCTAGGCAAGGTAAGCGAGGGGCAAAAACTGGGGCTCGGGACAACGTAATTAAATCTGCTGCAGCTTCTCCTTCTATCGTGCCTCAGCATCCGTAATCCATCTTGCAGCTGTAAAATTATTCTGGGTCTTGATGCTGGAAAAGTAAAACGGGGTCCATGAACCAACCAGCCAGGCCACTCTTGCGATAGATGGAGAAAGGAGGGCACCCCTTAGAGGTGGCTTGCACCCGGTACAGAACAGCCAAATATCAGAATCATCCCTGGGCCGAAATTCACCCCACTGGAGTTTGATTCAGTGGTATTCCCACGTCGCCCAACCAGTCCTTTGGACCGAAGCTGAACAGACCTGCCTGCCTCAGAAACATGCCCAGACTCTCCCCAGTCCGGCCCCCAAACAAACAAGGAGGGACGCCCATTGCCAAGCCTTCCAAGCGGCAGAGGACTTGGACGGCTGCCCTCCCCCAGCATCATACAGACCAAGCTGAACCAAGAGAACAACAAACAAGAGCCCCTGCGAAGGGCAGCCAGCCAAGCCAGCTCCCCACCTCTTCCCAGCACGCATTCCAAGCAGCATCCCTTTAAAATTTAACAAGCTCTTGGAAGCAGGCATGAGCTGGGCTCCTGGTCAGACACGTGCCCTGTTGGTTCGATCCCAGCGTCCTCCCCTCCTTGTGTCTCTCATGCTTGCTCATGTGAGCCCCCCCCCTTCCACCATTGGCTTCGGAAGCTTCCAGATCCACCTGACTGAACATGGTATTTGTCCCCTCCCTCACCTCCTCCCATCCCCACGTCTCACTCCACTCCACAGCCATGCACAAACACACACGGAGTCCAGATCTCTCACGCGCACGCACTTCTCTTCAAAACAGCCTTCGGGGCATAACAGAATGCGCAAGGGCAGCCAAACCCTCCCGCCTGCCTGCTTGCTCAGTAATTAGAAGAAGTGGCATTTGGGATCTCTTCACTCACGGCATTTTTCTTTGGTTCAAAACAGGACAACAGAGTTAAAGCACAAGGTCTGGGCTCCCTGCTGGGAATTCTGACTCTTTTTTTTTTCCTGTGGTGGGAACGTTTACAACCCGATGCCCCTAGGCAGAATCACACCACTTGGGAGATGCAACAGGTTGTTCGAAGCAGGGGCAGCGCTCCAGGAAAGCTTGGATATTTGGGATTCTGGTTGCTGTTTTTCAGATTAAAATAGCTGCACAGCTGCTAGCAACCAAGTCGATAGTCTTTGTGTGCACAGCCATTAGAGAGATGAGACCCTGCCAGATGTAACCCAGGGAAAGTGCACTCAAAGGAATTATGCCACTGCCGTTTAGATCAGGGGATTAAAAACACTAAGAGGGGAAGGTATGAGGGGGGAGATGCTTCCCTCCATAACTGCAGCCAGACCAGACCACAGCTGCGGCGAGCAATGGCTCTTCTTGGGTAATGCTCCCTCTAAGCGGTGGAGTCTTGTGAGCAAAAATTCTACTTTGTGATCTACTGGTATTAAAGTTCTGAGCAAGCGATTTGGCTACTGCATAAATTAGTTTGCTCTGCAGCCATCCTTCCTGAGCCAAAGGCTAAAAAACTGCGAGCTAGCTCATACTAACTCAGCTTAGAGAGAACACTGCTTGTGAGCAAAAATTCTACTTCGTGAGCTACTGGCATTACAGCTGTGAGCAAGCTATTTGGCTACTGTGTAAACTAGTTTGCTCTGGAGCCATCCTTCCTGAACTAAGACAAAAATGTGTGAGCTGGAGGCTAAAAATCTGTGAGCTAGCTCACACTAACACAGCTTAGGGGGAACGCTGCGACGTTACGATACTAGGCTGGTGTACTGGTACAACAGGAAAGCAGACTCTGTAGATAACCAGGCAGGCCACCCTAACATGGGTAATGAGATGTGACTGGAGCTTTTCAGTAACCTAAGAGGACTACAAGGATTCTCCATGCTCCACACTGGCTTTCTTATACATAGAGATCTTGAGAGAGGCTGATACTGGCAGGGACCAGATGGCCCCAATTTCCACTGCACCAGTGGGATTTTGAAGGCACTTGGGCATACCTGGCCCAGCACACAAAGACGATGCAGCACAGCTTGCTTCTTCTAAGTTCTCATGTAATCAGAGTAGTTCCATTAGTTTTAACAGGCTGCTGCCAATTCACCTTGGCTGCTGATCAGACCCTGACTACAGAAGCTTTTAAGTGTTTTCACTAAGATGCCCAACAGCTAAAAGCACTTGGAAAATCTTGAACTTAATGACTTAGCAGCATCAACTCTGGCAAGGCGGGATACAAACTGAAAATAATAAATAAATAAATAAACTACAAATCACAGTGCTTTGCACCCACGGTGGCAAAATCAGAAGGTTTTTCCACTCAATCATGGGCCTCGAATCTCATCTTATCATAACAAGGATATATTCTGACACCAACCCACTGATGAGTTGGGGTGTCGCAGGTTTAGCCATACATCAGAAGGAGCAACATGCTGCCATTTCACCATTCATGTATATAATTGCTAAATTGTGCAATCTGGCACCAGGCGGGGAAGCATACAGCCTCCAAGCACTCAAGCAAGCAGAGACCCCAGGCTAGTCTAAGCTCCAGCCCATAGCAGCCAGTGTTGCTGTTGTTATCTTCTGCCATCTTGGATCTCGTCTGGGGGACCCCAATCCAGAGAGTGGCTCAGAAACTTTGCCATAAACTGCTTGCACTGCCCAAAATTCCAGTTGCAAGCCCACCTGACTTCTCCAGGTCTCAAAGCTCCTGCATCTTTTTGATCTTCATCCATAGTGTCAAGTAAGAACCAGAAGCACTTTTTCCTGCACAAGCTGTCTCATCGCTTCTCAATCAGCAGTAGTCAATAGGTGCCAATGAGCAGTAGTCAATACGTGCTCTTGCCAGGAACAGAACGGTATTCTACACAGCAACCTAAATAGCAACAATGGGGTATCTGAGGGAAATATTATATCACATCTTCCCAGGGATAAAATATTGCTGCCTGACTGCTGGGAAAACAAGATATTGCCCTAACCAAAGCACAACCTTGGGGAAAGATAAGTAGACTGTTGCAAAGTAGAGAAAAATTGGCTTGCACTATAAAGTGCACTATCAGTAATAGTAGTACTAGTGGTATTTAGACTGACAACCCACTTGCTCAATACCCTACTCCATGCACTTTAGGGATTTCCGAAAGCAACTACAAAACCATAAATGTCCGTATTTAAGCCTGACTGTTAAGTAAACAAGCAAATAGATTACAGCTTTGAACTACAAGTACAATCAAAGTATCCACCGACAGATTTCCAAAAGATGAAAGCAGCACATCAGCAGCTGTGTTACCCAGAAACAGATCCAAAGGGTCCGAGCCGAACGACACATTACACCAATCCTGTTCACGTTACACTGAATGCATGTACAATTCACATACAGTGTACAGTTGATTTTTCTTTATACGTGCGTTGAGTCTCATGTTACGCTCAATGCACATACAGCTGAATGCGTAATATAATCCCAGTATTTATCCAGGTACTGGTCCCCCGTTTCTTCTGTTAAGTGAATGCACACTGGTTCCTTCTCACAAACCGATGTCCAGTGTGCTCACTGTGACATGTGAATGGGGTTAGCGGGAAACATGAACCAGAATTCCTGCCATGTAGCTTATTCTTTAAAAAAAGCCAGGGAACATGGGACAGAGCAGCA